CGAGATACGAAAAATTTAGACGCAGGATGCACCGATTAACTATATACAAATTCCGTTATATGAAATATTCTACTGAAAGGATTTGAGACTGATAATGATCAGAACAGAATTGAAACCATTTTTCAATAAATGCTAATTTATTGACAGATAGCATCAATGACAAAAGAAAGACAAATGATAATTCGAAAATATTTAATTAAATGTTAGTAGTATCAGCACGGTCTGCAACAGTGCAATATAGGACGGAAGTGATATCTTCATTGGAGGCGTGGCTACTTCCAGTTTCAATCACATGACACTGCTACATATCACATGATATAGAATGGAAATTATATTATCATTGGAACCGGAAGTAGCCACGCTTGCAATAATAATAATATCTCTTCTGTTTTATGTTCCACCGTTCCAGGCTGTGCGGATACTCCTTACACTCATTTGCCAACTTTGAAATACAGTGGTGCCTCGCATAACGTACGCCTCAAATAACGGATGCTGCAAACAACGGACTTTCCGTTCGGCAGTTACGTGAGGCGAACAACGGACTTTCTGCGAACAAGTGCGAATTATGTTTCCACTCTTTTGCCATTGCCAATGACAATCTGCTATTTTTATAATATATTAGTATTATTAGAATATACAGTAGACCCCCTAAAACGCGGTTGATACGTTCCTCGTTATACGAATTTCGCGTTGTAGGAATCCTTAATTACATAAGCCAATCGCAGCCCGACATGTGTGAAGTTTACGGACTACGGCTGTTTGAAAAATTTTCTTCCATAAAATTAATGGATTCTAGATTATTCGACTCACATTTCCAAAACACGTATAATTTTTTCGGAATAATCCAAATAAACTATGTTATAAACAAAAAATTGTAGGATTACTTACCGGTGTGCACTGCTCGACGTCGCCATTGCTTAAGCTTGTGTTCGTCGCGGCCGCCAAACGGCGGCCGCGATTTCTGATGTTATTTTTCTGCAAAAAATTCGTTAAACTTTAAAGACATCATTAATATAAATAATTTTAATGGCCGTTAAATAAGAAATGTTTCTTTCACAAGAAATGTATAAAATTACAGTACTGTATTAGACTTACGGTACCTAATTTACATACTGTACAGACGATAGTAAACTCAACTTACTCGCCTAAACTCTCCGTAGCGTGGCGCTGGACGGCGGAAAGTATACATACAATTATAATAAAGTTAAAATAAAATAAGTTAATATATAATTATATATACGTTACCTAATTTATATATAATTTATATATAATACTGTACTGACAATAGTAAACTCAACTTAGCCGCCTAAACTCTGCGTAGCGTGGCGCTGGACTGCGCAAAGTAGTTTGTTAGTCCGCGATGACGAGTTTGCGATGACGTTTTACCGCGTTTTACGAGTCCCTTTTAGCGTCTTTATACGAATACTGTCGAATTTTTTTTCGCCGCGTTGTAGAAATCTACCTTATAGGAACCGCGTTATAGGGGTTCTGCTGTATTATATCTTAAATACAGAGCTCTCGTTGGGATTCGGCTTGCTCCCTTGTTTATTACGTACATCACTGCAGTGCAGGGTATTTACATTTATTCAAGTATTGTGCAAATTACGGCTTCTCAATTAACAGAAAGGTGATTACAATTGAAAAAAGGCAAGAAATCATCAGAAGGAGTGAAAGTTGACAAAAACTTCTTTGTCAAATGGGGAGAGGTTCAGAAGTTTACCAACACTTTTTATCCAAACAAAGCTGAGGTCAACAGGATCAATGATATCTACAATGACACCCTTGCCCGTCATTTCTCACAGGTTGAATAAGAGAGAGAAACAAACCACCTCGGACATGTTTTTCAAGAAACCAGCTGCCAGAAAACAAAGGATGGAACAAGAGGAGTTGACCCTGCAAGCTCAGGTAGCTTCTCTTGAATCTGACTCCGATCAAAAACAATATAAAGAGACCTGCTGCAATGTGTAAAAAGTCTGTATCTATATGAATGTGCGAAGAAAGTGTTCCTCCACCTACTCCTCACAACATCTGACTACCCGGCATAATTAGTGATTGCTCCATTTTCATATCTACCCGGCTAAATCACCAGAAAGCACGCCAATGATGGGAACTGTGGCACAGATAGTTCGGGCCCAATATAAAGAAACACGTGTTTTACAGTCAGCCTCTCCCTAGACGTCCTGGCCAAACCTACGATTCGTATGATATAAAGTCTCTTAATGCACACCGGGACAGAGACAAAAATACAAAACCCTAATCAGTGACTTCAAAATACAATTGTGACATTCGGAGGTAGTAATTAAATTATTAAATCATATTTTAATACGATGCCGAAAAGGAAAAGAAAAAAGTCAAGCGAAAAATAGATGACCAACTGGGAAAAATTCACACATATCCTATTTTTCGATATTTCTTAACCTCTAAGACCGATTAGATCTCTTTTCGATTTAAACAATTATTACTAAGATTGTAACCTAATACCGGAGCTTAGTCACTACCGGCAATTAATTTAGTACGTTTAACAGTTATTATCTCGATTTTCAAATATAATGAGTAATCATGTCGGATAGAAAGCGTCAATAATTTATCGATACGTCCGATTCTTGACAGCTCGTATAAACAACACTCGGAACTAGTTCGATCCTACAACGCATAACACCATAGATTGCATCAGTCAAAAATGGGTATAAAAACAGATTGTACCCAGTCATCCAGGCAGACACCGGCGGACAACTGCAGACATCGGCCCTGCCATAATAGTTGAAATGATTCCGTCAACCAACTCCCGTCTTTCCATCAGAATCCAACGATAACCGATATTATCTCTATGAAGATCAAAGATCGGTCGATAACCAACGGTGGAAAGGATTAGAATGTTGTAAACTCTCTCTTTACGCCGACATTAGGACCTAGATTAGCAATCGCTAGTTGCATAAGTAATCTTTGTCACTCGGGTTATATCTTTGTATCTTTTAATCACATATAATCCCATATTTGGCCATTACTTTGTAACCGTGTTTATTCTAGTTATCAGTTATATTAAATTTGTTGTTTTTGTTTAACCTGTCGACTGGTTTATTGAGAGATACGGACACCCTTACCGACTTACTCACGTCCTCCCACTATCCACGACTTACCACTATCTGCCCTCCTATTTAAAAGCCATCGTCAATGCGGCATTTAGGGAACAGCCAATATTCCCCCCTACTTCTCAAACAATCGACAACTTTATTCTGTGATTTAGCGATTGCATATTTTTGAAACTATCGCCATTACTTAAGGTATCAATTATCAAGGAGGAATGATTGGAAGACTAGAGTAAGAAGCCTATATGGCAATTACCGAAGCAAGCAAGCCAATGACAGCATCCGTTTCATATGAAACAAAGCATATCATTAACTTGCTTAGCTGCTTGACACTTAAATGTAGCCTAAGTTTACATTTGAAGCTAATCATTTTTTGTTTTCGTACAGATACGTCGTTATTCTTGCAACTTCGATATTGTAACTCTAAATTCTAAATGTTAAAATTGTTTGTATTGTAATAGCCGAGAAATACTTTTTTTGTATTGAGATATTGTAATTTTAATTGCTTTTTTATGTTTTACAACAAAATATAACATTTCTAAAACATAAATCTAATCATCACAGTGAAAGACGGATTTGTAACAATATATTTGTTAGGGATGACCCTTTTTTGTTATTTCTTGTTTAGTATACCAGTGTATTAAGAAAAAAGCGACAAAAACATCATTTGCTTTATTTATTTAGCGTAAATTTCTCTGTGAATCTCAGAGAAATTTCCATTTTTACTCAACGCATGTCTGCATTTCTTCATATTTGTTGATTTTTCTAATTCAATAAGAGAATTCAGCAATGAGTAAATTGCATTGATTAGCTGAAAATAGAAATAATCATATATTATAATAAGCTGACAACTTGAAATATAAGATTATAATACTGCTTTTAAATATTAAAAGTTTTATTATTTTTATTCTTTTCATCCTGTAGGCAATAAGATGAACTTTTAATAATACCGATCGTGGTTTCGGTTACGCTTAATATAAGAGTGCGAGAGATAAATACCGTAAAGAATTTCTAGAATTTTTCCATCTATCAAGTTTCATCCGTGATATCAGGACTTAGGTAAAGACGACAACCGCGACGGCCTCCCTGCCAACTTGGTATTATTCTTTACTAACAACACAGAATTTTCTGGGTTATCAAACACACAAAAACAACATGTTTTTTATTCTTTCAAAAAGAAAAGAAGAAAAAAAATACGCCATAGTAAATGCGTACTGAACCGATGGATCTTCGTTTTCTTTTGTTCTTTTCATTTTCGTAAGTATGAAGTATGAACCCTATAAGTTTAAAATTAAATTTTCACCTAACTTATTATGTATTTAACACGGAAAAGTATTGGAATGGTGTCAAAGTCGTCACTAACAGATTTTTAATTAAAAATCTTCATCTTAATAAAACTTTATAAATTCGAAAAGTAAAAATAAAAATAAAATAAAATTCGTGGATTTATGTGAAAGCGTTTGCGGGTGTTTTTGTGTATATGTGTTGGCGTCAAAATGCGTTAATCATAAAAGAGTTCAATTTGGCATTGTAGACTGCCTAAAAAGGCTCTAATAATATTTAACTTTCGTAATTAAACGTATAGTCTATGGTAAGATATCGGGAGTAACATGCGATAACTGCACGGAGTTCGACTGACGAACTCAATCTTTATTAAAATTTATAACGTTTATAAAATTGATTTCTACTCTGAAAATTCAAGTATTATCCATTTCAAAAGTTAACAAATAAATTGTTATAATAGCTAGAAAGAATATGCAACTTCTTTTGATTTTTTTATATTCATATTAAGGAAAATGGTTAAAATCAACTACAACAAAGAATCAAATTGATACCTATAAGTTAAGAATCGAATTTGTATATTTAATTGGTGAATTGCTGTTAGAAACTATAATAATATTTTAAGGCAATAACTTACCCTTATAACGAATGTTTTTTTGATGAAAAAGAATCCTTCGAAATTCAGACCAATTGGAAATCTCGCAAATCTTTTCATGAAGTTCAAGATCTAGGACACAAAAGAAACACTTCAACATCACGCCTATTGTTATCAGAAATAAAAATCAAGTTACCTTCAACTTGTAGATAAGAGGAAACTCAACATTAGAAAGAACATTGCAATCACAGTAATTACCATAAACCTGAAACAAAAAAAAAGCGTTTTATTATTGAATAAAATTTATTAACAATAGTAAATATAATAATAGACATTTACTAATTGCTGCAGTAATTCTGGATAGTCCATAAGCACTTAAAAAGACTATACATAACGATATAATGGACAAGATTACCCAAAATATCTTAATGTTTGTCTCCAAATCAAACATGATTGCAATGAAGAAAGAAAAGCAAGTAAAACATATACAAAAGCCATAACAAATGGGAAAAAGAATCTGTCCAGTTTCGTTCATTTTTTGAATAAAAAACAATAAATGAAAGTGCTTCTGAATGACTTTTTCAAATTGATGAGCATTTCTGTTTACTTTTCTAACGATTCGATTCAAAAAATGCTGCAAACGCTGCAATGAATGGTGTAACATAATATATATTATCAAAGAAATTAACAGAAAGCTCAGCGGAAAACTGTTTCCGTATATAAATACAAGAGATAAATTCATATGACAGAAAAGAATTTTCGGTATAGATGCATTTTTGAAACAAGGATAAAGATAAAAATCAACGTATAATATTCGTATTATAGTAAAAGTTAACCAAGTGAGAAATACGAGAATAGACAGAATAAGCACTTTTCCAGCAACATTATAATCGATGACATAAAAATAATCATTCGGATCCGGAAAACTATTTCTTCGAAAAAAACCTAAAAGAAAATTGAAAAATGCAAGTATCATAATGATAGTTGATTGTAAGAATATATTTGAATTTGATAGCAATTTGAAGCTATCTTTACAAATAATATCAACGTCCAACATGAACAAGGAAAACAATAAAAGATTAAAACAAAAAAAAATTTCGATAATACACTGATAAAAGGCGTATAACTTGGATTGTAATTTTGTTTTCTGTAAATTCTGTTCTTCGATGTAACTTATTCCGGATACACGAGAAATTTTGTGGATAAAGTATAAATTCTCCATGTGAATAGATTTGTGGTGCAGATTCACTCTCGTCAGATGCAAAGCTCTGTCTATGCTTTAAGTGCTAATGGATGCACTTAAATCTTCTGAACTATTTTAACTTAGGGTTTTCGATTAGAATAAAATTACTTTTAATGGTTATTCCTCTTAACTTTTATAAAAGCAAACTCATTTTGCATGTAATGCATTTAATGCAGATCGGCAATTTATTTTCTATGACATGCAATTTGAATTCGTTAGAAAGTTGGTAGGATCGAAATTAATTTTCTAAGAATTTATTATTAACTAGCTGCAAGGACCCGCTTCGCTGGGCAAAAAGTAACGATAGTGAAGATTAAGATAAATACATTATAGCCAATCTTACCCGCTTTCACAGAATGCAAGAATTAAGTCCCCCGTTTCCAGACTAATTAGAGAATTTTTACGTTTAGTCAAACGAACTATTTTTAACGTTTCTGGAACGTTTACAATCGTTCTATAATCGAACCAATATTCGAATTTTATGTTCGAATTTAATTCGAACAAATTCGAACAAAACATTCGAAATAGAAAGCCACTTTCAACCACTTTCAGCCTCATATCTCCCGC